AATACCATGCATTATTAAATTTCTGGAAGAAATAGAAAATAGAGAACTTGTGCTTTCAAATAAATTCCTAAAAATAAGTGTGTGGTATGCTCTTATCTTGCGTGCCCAAGAGGAAATATGATTTTAAAAATCAGAGAGTAGGGCGGTGTCTTTTTGTTATTTTTTTTTAACCACTTGATCTTGCTGAATTATTTAGATTGAAAACAGAATGCAGATCTATTCTTAGAACTTTAAGCTGTTTGCATACTGTGAAGTATAAAATAAGAATTAAATTGAAACTGATCAAAAGCAAAAAGCCAGATATTATAGAGAGGAAAAAGCGTGTGCCCTAAGCTTTAGTGAGTTGCTGCAAATATGAGACATAAACATAACAAAAATGATGTTCACCAAATTGGGAGTACCTGTTGACTTTCCAGTAGTTCTTCTATTTCCCTGGTTTCCTATTTGTATCAGCTGAGATATGTGAATTTAATCCCTGTTTACTAACACCTTTCCCAAAGATGTACCACTTACGTTTGTGATCCCCATGTTCCTGAAACTTTAAACTGTTTTGTTGTTTTGTTTTGTTTTTTTAAATACCCCCTGCACTACTTATTCAGAAGACGTGGCAGTAAGACCCAGATAAGCTCACTGTCTGACATCAAGAATAATCCAGAACACATTTCAGATCTGCCCTGTGGAGCTCAGTGTCTCCTGTTTAATGAAGATGTGACAGTCTGTGACTCTTCACCTGGTGATGCCCATGCCTGTACCTTAGCAAGGTGGACTTTATCAGAAAATTACAACTATAATTGCCAAAGTTTATTTTTGTCTGCATCTCTGGATTTTAGTGAACTGTTCAGGAAGTAAACATCACTGCATCATAAAACACTGCAGTTATAATTTTTCTTTTTTTGTCAGCTGGGAGAAGTGGAAATGCAACCAAAATATGAAGTATCTGCTTTCTCATGAAGAGATTTTTCAAGGACTTTATTGTGTTACTTTTTTTTTTTTTTAATTAGTGTATTTTATATAACGTATGCTTTAGATACTGTAAAACCAAAAAGCTAATGGTGCTGGAATGAAGCAGTGCAGGAGCTCTGCACCAATGATGTGACCAGAGTTTCAGATTCTCTCTCCTAGGTGGGTTGCAGAGCTTGTTTGCCAAGCTGAGCGTAGCTGAAGGTCACTGCTGATGTTGAGAAGCCAGAACTTATCAAGAAGTCAGATCACTGCACAGATTGAAAATGGCAGAATTTGTTCGGCTCTCTGGAAAAAAACACTGTCCAGACAGTGCTGGGTGTATGTTTGTAAATTCTGATTCTTCAGTCTCCGGCTAATCTCCTTGTTTTGTCCTGCCTGCAATATAAAAAGCCTTGTCTTGGCTGCAGCTCTGACCATGGATGGAACCAACTTGTGAGGGGAGCAGCTGTGTTACAAAGGGAGATGAGCACGTGTGGTTCCATAGGTTTCTATAGTCCTCTGCGAAAATGCATGAAGAAAACTGTCTTGCTAGGAGGAGTAAATACTGTGAGTACATACAGGGAGGTAACTGCGTGATATGCTTCTGATCAGAGCCTGTGTGAGCTATCCTGCCTGGTTGAATATTGCTTTTCAAACATTTACTAACTCAGTTTAGTAACTCCTCCTCTGCTTGGTGTTTCAGGATCATATTTTTGTCTTTTAATGTCTTCTCATGCACCTTTTCCAGTGATGTGATAACTGATTTTGTTTGTACGGGTTCTGCTGACTGTGAGGTTCTTCTTTGAACAGCTGATGGGGCTGTGCGGGCAGAGCACAGCTCTGTGCTGGGAGCCTCCATGAGCTCAACAGAAACTCTTGAGCAAGCTGTATCTACCTGTTTCTGTCACTGTGATTAACAGTATGCCTCACGTATCCATGTCATAGTGGTGGTGATGAGTTAATTATTAACTACCAATTTCTCTGCCATATACTGTAACTTCACTAGTGAGGACATTGGGTAGGGCTAACTACCATGAGAATTTCTGCAGGTTTTCTTGGCTGTACATTTAGCTGAGTTTAAATTCATCTGCGTTTTTGAACTGCCTTCTCTAAAGCTAATTTGTGTTAAATCTCAGCTAGCTGCAGCCTCTGAAAGGCAAAGCATGCCTGCCACTTGTTGAGACGACAATTAGGATACTTTATTCTGCATCTGCAAAACTGTAGCATCTTGTTTAAATAATAATAAAAATTCAACTTCTCAGTTTATAATCATCCAAAATTCAGTTCAGGAAAAAGTTACTGCATGAGGTGTCTGGATTGGAACAGTGTGGAAATTATCATCTTTATTTAAATGAGATGGGCTAAACACAATAGAAGTTTAATTTCTGATTTGAACCTCAGACCAATCATAAAAATAAATGTCTTCAGTGGGTACATAGCTTAAAGCACGTGAGGGAAGATTACAAGAATTTGTATTCTGGTGCCAAAAAGGAGCAGGCCTTTGTTTCTTCACTCCCAGGAGTATTTTTGGTCCTGCAGATCTCAAACCCAGTAGCTGTATTCCAAATCTCTGCTGAATGTACAAATAATGAAAACAGCAAATTTCATTGAATTTCCCTAATTTTTCTATGGTCATTTTCTGAAAGAAAATATTCTTATGCCTTTTCCACTTCAGATAAAATTTGAATTTACATTTGTAAACTTATTTTACAAGTAACTTACATTAAACATAATCTCAATTTAGTATCCTCCAGCGAGTATTACTTTTCCAAAGGTGCATGTTTAAATGTGTAGCTTGTATTTTCAGATTTATGTATAACAATTGGGACATTTTCAGACTTTCGTGCGACAGTTAAGATATTTCTCTTTATTTTAAGATTAATGCAGTGGTGGCATAAAAAAATAATTATTCAACAGAAGCTATTTATGAGAGGAGTTCTGAAGAAACACTGATATTCAGTTTTTGAAAGCAAGAGAGTGATAATTTTTTAGGTGCAATAATACCACAACAGTCTGTATATGCATGTGGGTGTTAATGATTTCTAAATAATCTGCTATACCACAGAATTGGTTTCTGATAGCAGATCCATTCCAGACACTGTTAGTTTATATTTATAATGTTGCTCTTGTCTCATGCTAAAGGTATAGTCAGGAGGTTGTTTGACTTTTTAAACATATTCCTTACTGGGATGACAAATTGATTATATGATGTATTAGTTATTTCAGTACCACAGTCACCTACATTTAAAAGTGTCAAGAATGCTGCTAGTTGGAAAAAAAAAAAAAAAAAAAAAAAACCAAACAAACCAAATATTTGACCGGGTTCTAAGAATAAAGCAAAAAAAATCTATTTGTTGGAAAAGGGATATTCTTTGTTCATAGTGATTCTACAGTTTGTGCAACTTGGACACATAAACCTTACAGACTTTTCTCACAAGCTACAGGTTTTCAGTATCTCAAAGTGAAGTACTTGTTAGTCTCCGTTCCCAGATGTTCTGGTGATTACTGACAGTGGATGATTACAATACTTCATTTCTTGAAGGGAGGGACTCCATTTCAATTACTTTTTATTTTGATTTACTCATTAAACCAATTTAATGTAGGTAAGGGCAGCGTTACAGGCTTGGGGATGAGTGGTTGGATGATTGTGAAGAGGAAAGGGACCTTGGGGTGTTGGTTGATGCTCGGCTGAACATGAGCCGACAGTGTGCCCAAGTGGCCAAGAGGGCCAACGGCATCCTGGCCTGCATTAGAAATAGTGTGGCCAGCAGGAGCAGGGAGGTGATCATCCCCCTGTACTCAGCACTGGTGAGGCCGCACCTCGAGTACTGTGTCCAGTTTTGGGCCCCTCACTGCAAGAAAGACATTGAGACTGGAACTACAAGAACTACAAGAAAGACTGGCCCCGGAGTGTGTCCAGAGAAGGGCAACGAAACTGGTGAGGGGTCTGGAGCACAGTTCTTATGAGGAGCGGCTGAAGGAGCTGGGATTGTTCAGTCTGGAGAAGAGGAGGCTCAGGGGAGACCTTATTGCACTTTACAACTTCCTGAAGGGAGGTTGTGGTGCAAAAGGGTCTGGCCTCTTCTCCCAGGCAAATAGTAGGACCCGAGGAAATGGCAAGAAGTTATACCAGAGGAGGTTTAGGTTGGATATTAGGAGAAACTTTTTCTCTCAAAGGGTGGTCAGGCACTGGAATGGCCTGCCCAGGGAGGTGGTGGAGTCGCCATCCCTGGCAGTGTTCAAGAGGCGCCTGGATGAGGAGCTACGAGAGATGGTTTAGTAGCTTTTGGCACTGATAGGAATGGGAGGGTGGTTGGACTAGATGATCTTGCAGGTCGTTTCCAACCTTGTGTTTCTGTGATTCTGTGATTCTGTGATTAAGAATTATTGTTAACATCTTTGCTGCAAGGAAGCAGGCTGTAGTGTGTTCGCTGAAGTACTTACATATACACTCATAGTGTGCAATCTTGGCAGCTAGGCAAATGACTGTGCTAAAGTTTAAATTTATTCTTTGAGATGTCTGGCCTTTTTCCAATGTGCCTTCATTTGTGCACTTCCTTGTCAGAACAGAAGCCTGAAGTTTGACTGCTCTAATTACATGACATTGGAGGAGTCTACTTCAAATCCCCACATCTTGTTTGTATGGCTTTCCTTGTTTTTATTAGTTATTTTCTGTAATACTGTCAAACTCTGAATTGAGATTTCTTTTGTGAATTAGCAGTGGAAAGTCACAGAACCGATGAAGAACAGAATGTGCCATTGATGATGCCATGAGGGCATTGAAATATCCCACTGTTCTCCTCTACCTTCTGCAGTGTTGTGCAGATAGGTGATCCTGCGGTGTAATGCAGATGACAGTGTTTCATGAGCACACTGAATCTATTTAGCCCTGGTCCTGTAAGGGCATTAGCTTGAAGAACCAAGACAGACTTACAGCAATTTTTTTTTTTTTCCTGTGGCCTCCTTATATTAAACAAAGGACAGGTAGTAGAGGTCAGCTTGCAGACTTTCAGAAACTGGATGTGATAAGGAAGAACTATGTTAGGTAGACACGTTTTAAACCAATCTTCATTTGTTCAAAATTAAAACTCTTCAAAACTCATCTGGATGTCAACCTGAATGACTTGCTGTAGGGAAAGTGCTTTAGCAGGGGTTTGGACTAGATATTCTCCAGAGGTCATCAACCCCTTTGATTCTTTGATTGTGTGCATTTTAATCCAGCAAACAAACTTCTTTTTCTGCTTGGCAAATATCTTACCCTTTGGGCAGGATGTAACAGTAGTGTGAGGTAGAGTTTTTTTAGCTCTCTTGTAGGACATAAGAGATGTTTGACAGACACCTCTAGGTCTTCTGAAAAGCTTATACATGTGAATAACTTTACTGCTTCAGCTGTATTTAACTGCATCACTTACATAATCATTCAGAAAGAAAGGATTAGTTATTCTTCTTTGCTCTAATTATCTGTTTAATTAAACTCACTAGAAGTCTCTAAGAGAAAATAGTTCTCTGAGCAATTAGAGATAGTTCTTTATTACCTATCACTTAAAGATTATATTTTCTAAAATAAAGTACTTTCAATTACTTTTTGAAAGAGAAGGTCTCATTTTCTACCTTATAGCTGTAGTTCTTGTAAATATTTTGAATGTGCTCTTCAGGTAACCTCAAAGGCACAAATCAATTGAGGTTTTTTTGTGGCTGATGAGGAACAAAATACTAATAGTATTCACTGAACTTCAGTTTGTAAGTCCTCTGGAAGAGTATGCTGCTGCCACTGGAATTTCAGTCTGTGCTCCCTTCTCTTACTGTCATCCTCCCTTTCTAACAAGGGAATGCTCTTGTGATGGTTCTTTTTTGTTTGCTTGTTCTGTTTGTTTTGTTGTTATAATACTATATTTTAAATGGTAATTATATTGGTGTTTTATAAGTGGTGTTTTATAATGACAGTGCTTTTTACTTATACAATTTCAGAATCATCATATTGAAGCAATACTGCCATAAGCACCAGTAAGTCATCCTTACTGGTGTAAACATCTTTCTCTTTCAGTATCAATGGTAAGCAGATGACAGAAAATGTCCCCTAATAATCCAGTGAAATCTGAAGTGACTGATGGGCAATGTGTGCCTCCTAACCAGTGCCAGCTAGCTGCACGTGCAGTTGAGTGCCTTGTAAAGTTAAGAGGAACTATAGTCATGAGATTTAAAGTTTTCTGGGTATAAATGCTGACATTTTCTTCTTTGTTCCTTATTTCTTTCTTAAAAATAGAAAGAAATGATTATGTCTGAACAAAAGATAGAAACTTGTCTACAAAGAGATTACTGAATTATCAAATCTGAATGGACTATTAGATAAAGTCATACCATTCCTAAAAGCATACAGAAAGATCTTCTGAGCTATTAAAAAGCATGTTAGGGAAAAGATGAAAAACAACCGGTCTTTAAAATTTACTTGCAAATTTTCTTCTACTTTCATGCTTATTCAACAAGCACATTTTCTTGCAAGTGCAATTAAGCAACTGTTTCACATTTTAGGTTCTTAACAATGCTATGCTTTGTCTTACATTTCTACA